TAAATACTTGCATTGACTTTTGTGGTTGAAGATTTCTAGTCTGAAAGCCTAAAATCTGAAATGCAATGTGTTATGTCAGGTGTTAAGTTTCAGATGTTAGAGCACTTTACATTTTGGCATTTGTTTGTTTTGCTTTTTGAGACAAGATCTTGTGTAGTTCAGGCTGCCCTTAAACTCCCTGTATAGCCCAAATTGTCCTCAAACTTCCAGGAAAGCTCCTGCTTCAGCCTCTAGAGTGCTGGTGTTACAGATGTGTGCCACTGTGACTGTCTCAGTTTTAGATTTTTTTTTTTTGAGATAACGTCTCACTATGCAGTTCAGGCTGCTCTTGAAGTCACTGTGGAGGCCAGACTGGCCTCAATCTTGGCAGTGATCCTCTTCCCTCAGCCTCCTGAGTGCTGGGATTACAGGTGTGTGCCACTGTGCTTGACTAGTTTCTTTCATGTAGCATGTTTTTGAGGCTCATGAATATTGTTACATTTATTGCTAGTTCTGTTTTATTGCTGAATAATATTGCTGAATGGGAATATCATATGTTGTTTATCCTTCTCTATGTGGAGTCCTGGGTTATTCTACTTTTGGGCTACAGTGACTAATGCTGCAGTGGACATTTGCATAAATGCATTAAGTAAATGTGGTGGTTTCTCTTGGATAAATACATAGGAGTGGAATGCTTACGCCACACAGTAAGCGTATGCTTATCTTTTTCAAGCTGTCAAACTGTTTTCTACAGTGGTGTTGCCTTTTTACATTCTTACCAAGAACAGTTCAGATTCTTTCATCTCAAAGATTTGGCAGCGTTTGACATTGTCAGCTTGTTCAGGTTTTGCTTTTTTGTGGGGCTAGGAATAGAACCCAGAATCTCACACATGCTCAGCAAGCACTGTAATAATGAGCTATTGTACGAGCCCTGCCATCTTGTTGAGTAGGAATTTTTTTTTAGGTACTGGGGATCGAACTCACGATCTAGCACTTGCCAGACTCAGCAGCCCCTTGAGCAGGATTCTTTTGCTCCTGTTGGAGCTCTGAAAATGATTGACTCTGTTCCGTTATGTCACATTTGGTTCTACTCCCTTCCAAAAAAGTAATACGAACTGTGGGAGCAACAAAACCCAAAATGTGTAATTGTCATTGTACAAAAGAGAGGAAAAGAAAGTGCTCTAAATGATATAACTGCATGTATATTTAAGTGTATAAGATAGATAATGATATCACTAAGTTTTGTTGGATCATTGAACAGAACTGCTTGCAGTCTCACTGTTGGAATGTCTACTTTACAAGCTTTAATTTTGTAACTTGAACAATTATTTCTAAGATGACACTATGTAATCCATTGACTAGTGATTTCCTACTGTTTATTTTTTTCTGTAAATCTGTATAACTTGTACCCTTTCTCTGCTTTTTTTTCTCCTTAAATAAAATTAAAAAAAAAAAGAAAAAAGAAAATGATACTCCAAAGTGAAAGCCTCAGAAGCTACAGCAGAGGCCAAGTTTGTGTCTCACCTTCTGACTTCCTTTCACTTCCTCAATAACCCTGAAGCAAATCATGGAAAATAGACTTACCAGAGAAATCAGAGCCCTTAGAAACTCATCAGAACCCATAAAAATCATCTAGCCATAAAGAAATCTTCTAGTTGCTTTGATTGTATGTTAAAAAGCCCCATTCAAGAAAGTGTCTTATCTCATAACAGGAAGAAAGGAAAGCTGGAAAGAGGCCAAAAACAAAATGGTCAGATAGATCTTGCTGAGTTTCTCATTATGCTTTATGTCCTGGCTTCTGAGTGGGAGGCCCTGGGGTTTGAACCCTGGGCCTTGTGCTCGCAAACAAGGCAAGAACTCTACCACAGTGAGCCACAGCCACACCCTACACCCTGTCCTGGTGTAGTTCTACACTGCTAGTCACACTTAATGGAACCTAAACCTGTAGATGAACAATTCACCGTTTGGCTGTTTGAATTTTCCTTTTGAAGATTTCTGGTCTCCCCTCCTCCCAGCCAGGGTCTTGCTATATAATTTAGGCTGGTCTTGAATTTACTATGTAACCCAGGCTCCAGCTAACCACGACCTTCCTGCCTGAGCATCCGGAGTGCTGGTATTACAGGCCTTTGCCACTGTGCCTGGCCTTACTCAAGATGTGGCCAAGCCTCAGGTTTACCTATGCAATGGGGATGATTCTTCTCAGTAGTGAGGATTGTTAGGTCTGAGAGAAGGGAGAGGATGGGAGGAGAGAGGAAGAGAGTCTGTGGGAGGTATGGAGCGGACGGCCGTGAAAGTAGTGGGCAGCAGTGGCTTTATTCCGGGAATGCGGGGAGGGGGCCCCCCCTCTGCCGGCCCTGGGCACAGCCTCTCCACTGCGCCCGGGGCCGGGCCGTGGTTAACACGGGGAGAGGAGACTGGCGCGCTGGCTGCTGGAGTCCGGCGATCTCTCTCTGGTGAACTCTCTCTGGCGAACTCTCTCTGACATGTGGCGTGGGGGAATCTAAATAGCCTAAACTTAGGGCAGTGCCCTAAGGCCATTAGAGATACACAGGTATCTCATTGGCGCACAGGTTCTTAAGGATGGGGATATAGGGTTACAGTCAAGTCCATAGGGGGCACGGGGGGGGGAGGAGTTTAGCTGCAGCCTTTCCTGGTTACAGTGTTCGGTCTGAGCCAGCAACTCTTTCATATCCCGTCTTATGGTTATTAGGAAAAGGGGCGAAGATCTCTCTCTGTAACTACTTCCTGCTGGCTGAGGGTGCTGTATTGGGGGTCTAGGGGAGTTTGACGGGATGAAGGTTGATGCCCAGGTAGACACTGATGCCAGGTGTTTTAGCCAGGACATAGAGGCCATATATACAGGGTTCTTCCTGAGTATTTAGGTTGCTATATTAAATCAATCTCTATGACATGGTATTTGATGGTCAACCTATGCCATTTACAAACAGGCCCATTTTTATACAGGTCCCAGTCCTAAATCATAAAATGCTTTTATTCCCTTTTAAACTGCCATTCTGGTTTCACATCACTCAGGCCCTAGATCTAACCATCCTTTTGATGCTCATCTCTGCCTTATGACTCACAGGTTGTCATGTTTTGTTGTCCAGTTTGATTCTTAATTTCTCACATTCTATTAATGATCATTTCTATAGTAGGAGTCCCTAACACGATTGCCTACAGACTCCAACATCATATATACCAGAGACAAGCCTTACCTACCTACCTTTTAACTTTTATGCTTTCATGGGGGGGAGTAAACACCTCTCATAACTTCACTCCTCGTAATCCCACGTTTATTTTTCAGAATTCTGCCTTGCCACTTCAACATCACCCTGATAAAATACCATCTCAAAACCAAAGTCACCTTCCTATCTACCTCACCTGGGTCCTTAAATATAATAGTGCCATGTCTCCTAATAACATTATGTCTCTTTGTTTTTCCAGTCTGACACATGTACATTCACCAGTGAAGTTGTCCTGGCTAAAACACCTGGCATCAGTGTCTACCTGGGCATCAACCTTCATCCCGTCAAATTCCCCTAGACCCCCAATACAGCGCCCTCAGCCAGCAGGAAGTAGTTACAGAGAGAGATCTTCGCCCCTTTTCCTAATAACCATAAGACGGGATATGAAAGAGTTGCTGCCTCAGACCGAACACTGTAACCAGGAAAGGCTGCAGCTAAACTCCTCCCCCCCCCCCGTGCCCCCTATGGACTTGACTGTAACCCTATATCCCCATCCTTAAGAACCTGTGCGCCAATGAGATACCTGTGCATCTCTAATGGCCTTAGGGCACTGCCCTAAGCTTAGGCTATTTAGATTCCCCCACGCCACGTGTCAGAGTTCGCCAGAGAGAGATCACCGGATTCCAGCAGCCAGCGCGCCAGTCTCCTCTCCCCGTGTTAACCACGGCCCGGCCCCGGGCGCAGTGGAGAGGCTGTGCCCAGGGCCGGCGGAGCGGGGGCCCCCTCCCTGCATTCCCGGAATAAAGCCACTGCTGCCCACTACCTTCACGGCCGTCCACTCCATTCCTTCCACGGACTTTGACCTCTCTCCCTCTCTCTCCTCCTCTCCCTTCTCACAGACCTAACAGGATGAACTGTAAAATCCAGGTGCACATAAGGACTCAGTAGGTATGAACTGTTTTTCTTGGTCTGCTTTAGGACTTTTACCTGGGTTGCCTGACTCTCAGGTTACACCTAATGTGTAAGCTGTTGCTTTGCTCCTTTAGGTCTTAAGCCTCCTTTTCAGAACTCCTGCAAGGTCACAAACGGATTAATAGGTTCAAAAGCTGCAAGCTTGTCTGGGTGCGCTGTGAACAGTGAATTGCAGAGCGGATCTCGGGGTCTGGAACTGTCTGGCTTAGGGGCATGGGATCCTGAAGGTGGAAAGCAGCTCCTCTCCCCGCGCGCCTCCGCGGGTCCCGCTCTTCAGCAGCTGTCCAGCTTGCACGGCCCGGCCGCCCTCCTCCTCGCAACAGACAGGGATGGTGCGGGGCGGCCGCGGAAGGTCGGTCGGCGTGGCGGGAGTGCGAGAGGAGGTAGGTCTCCTGGCGACCGAAAACTCCTCACGGCCATTTCTGCGGAGGGGGGCTGTCTCTTGTCTCTGGAGAGAAGGTCTCGGGGCACGCACGCCCAGGACTGGAAGCCGGACGGGTGTGGGGGAGGAAAACAGCCCGGTAGGTGCGGCTGGGGAGAGCGCGAGCCTGAGGAGCCCGGGGTGGGAAGCCCGGCTGGCGCGGAGGGCGGCCGGCGCGCGGGCGGCGCAAGGCGGGAGAGCGGGCGGCGTTATGCAGATGAACGGTCTCGGTGCGTTGTGGAAGCGCGTTCCCTGGCAAGGATCGGGGTGTGTAGCAGGTGAAGCACGCCAGTAGGTGGTGAGCCGCGGGCCCTCTTGCTGTGTTTTGGCTGTGAGTGTGTGGGCACGGGTGAGTTGTAGCGGAGTGAGGAGCGACCGGAAGGTAAGAGTGAGGCGTGTGAGTTGGGGTAGTGGGGCGGGTGGGAACTTGGGTCATACTTGGCTAGAAGAATGGTATGATCACAAGGTTGAGGTTTATTCACTGTACTCCAGTTGAACTCATCCTGCAGCATGTTTCCATATTGGTCAAGGAAGATGGCTTTAGGTGTCTGGCTTAAGAAGCTGAGAAGGTAGGGGGGGAGGTTGCTTTCTGGTAAACTGGTGTGGTGTTTAAGAAGAGTTCCGAAAGTTTTGTCACATAATGCAAGAGGAAACCACAGGACAGTGTTATATTTGTCGTTTTCTCTATTGTTCAGTCACTCACTCACTTTTAGTTTATGCCAGTTGTTCCACAATTGAAAACTTTGTGCTGCTAGGGGTCAGTTGCGCTTTGGTTTAGCCTAATAGGTGTTAAGTGGCCATTAGATAAAAGTCATGGAGACAGCTAACTTTCTATCAGTAGTAGAATTGAAAACAAATTGAAGAAATCATTTTCATATAGAGAAAAGATACTAAGGCAGTGGAGTCTATTCCTGTGGTAAGAAAGGGTTGGTGGTTCAGTTGCAGATGCAGGGGGCTTTTTCTTTTCTTTTCTTTTCTTTTTTTTTTTTTTAAAGATTGTATCTTTAGGGTTGGGATTTAGCTCAGCAGCCATAAGCCTGCTTTCCAAGCATATGTGGTTGCCAGTTCAATCCCCGGTGCCAGGAAAAAAAAAATAAAGATTACATCTTTACAACCAATACAGTAAAACAGTAAAGTGGCTATGCTGGAAAGGACTCACTACAGCAAAGCCTTCCTTGCACCCTGCACATCGTGAGCACTGCAAAAGACAGGTTAACAAACTATGAAACATAGTCAATCCACGCAAGCAGACACTTTTCTTTTTTTGACATATGGAAGTTATCACCATAGTTGATAACCTTCAGAAAACTGCACAGAAGTGCTCGTATTTATGTGGCTGGGGAGGTATTGAGATCATGTAGGTAGTTTTCCTAGAGTGAGGCTTATCCATTTTACTCTGAATGTGCTGATCTCTGTTGTTTCCCCAAATGTGGGAAATTTGAGTGCATAACTTGTGGTAGTGGGGGACTACTACTGTATTAGCACTTTCCCAGGGCTTACAGTCCTAAGGAAGGATCACAGGTTTATATTATGCTCAGTATGTACAGTTAGTGGTGTTTGTGCACATCAGGTGATTGAGAGTTCTTTGTTGTAGTAAAGTGATGAAAGTGCTATACTTAATGTAGTGAACTCAGTAACTTGAGGGTGTGGTTTTCTCTTGGGTTTTGAAAGTTCAGTGTGGTTGGGGTCAACAGTAAAGCATTGAGCTCAATGGAGAAAAAGCAGGGGTTTGTCATACTGTGTACTTATAAACTGGGTATTTTGGGGATACATCATGTGTATTATACATGACGTGATGGAGGTACTCTGGGTGGTGTTATATACATCTGGTGAGGGTACCTATATGGCCGAATTCAAGTTGTAAACTCCCTTGCAGTGGGCAGTAGCTAAGAAACTTGTATCTTTAAGTATCAGCTCTGTGCATGTAGAAAGTTTTGCCCAGTTTTGACCAGATATTTGGGCAGAGTTTCTGTGTGGATTGGGGTTTATCTGTGGCTGTCTTCCTTCTGGGGTTTTCCTCCATTACTTTTCAGCTACTGTATTTTCCCTGAATTATGGCTTTTAGTGTTTTCTATCTTAGTTTTGGCCATAGTTGTAAGTCAAAAGCCAAAAAAATTGAAAACTTAATCAGAGCTATTCTTTTCTTCCAAGTCCTGCATAGCAGTCTTTTGGTTGTTTTTATTGCTCTTCAGTGGTTTTACATTACTCTGTGCATTTTATTCAGAAACTACAGTTGTTATCTGTAGGACTTGATCTCATAGATGGTAACTGACACTTCTTGGAAGCAGAGCTCTAGATTTTTTTTTTGAGACAATCTAGTGTTTGTTTGCTATGAAGTACATAATTTTTTCAGTTGGTGGTCTTGCCAAAGCACTTGAGGCTGGCCTATAACTTCCTGCCCGTGTCCCAAGTGCTGGGATTACAGGTGTATACCACTATGCCCTGCTCTGTCTCTCAGTGCAGAGGGTACCTGGTCTCTTCAACTTGACTGATTTCTTTACTCAGGTAAGAGGCCATCTGTGGTGACCTGCAGCTGACCTTAGCACTGAGCAGTGTCCAGTGCTGCTCTGGGGAAACTCCTGGGGAGGAAGAAGACCTTGAAGAAATGAAAGCAAAAGTGTAGAAAGCTGAGGTGAAATGGAGTTCTCTCTTAGTTAGAGAAAAGAGCCGCTCAGGGATTGAGGCATGTTTGTACACGCAGCAGGTTGATGTCAAGTGAAACCCCGTTGCCTAACAACTCATTTACCTAGCTTGCTTCAGGTGCCTTGTGGTCTAGGGGCTGGAGCAGTGTATTTGTCTAGCTCACCTTCGGCATCCCATGTTCTTGGGGCTGGGCTTACTCTTGCCCGGCACATGTGATTGATCTTCAGCTTCAGCTGCTCCCCACAGACAGAAGCAGTGTTTTGTGAGGTCTGCAGAATAATCACAGCTCCCCAGCTTTAGGAGACAAAAGCCTGCATAAAACAAAGCAAGTGACTGGCTGCTGAGAAGTTCTATGTTAATCAACTAAGTTACTTTAAAGTTTGGAAGGTTTACAAGGGAAAACAAGTTGTTTGAATTTTGTCAGTTGACCAACATTTTTCAGATATAAACTGTGAAAGAGGCAAATGATCTGGTATTCTTTCTTCCCCTAAACAAAAACAAAACAAAACAAAATGACTCAAACTCTTAATCACTGCACAGTGTATGACTACAGTAGACCCATCAGAGGCTGAGAGCTCACAGCTAGAACTGTAATATTAAGAACCATGTATGGGCCAGGGATTTAGCTCAGCAGCATAAGCACCTGCCTGGGAAATGCAAGGTCATGAGTTCTATCCCTGGTACCAAAAAAAGGAAAAAAAAAAAAAAAAAAGAAGGACCCTTTGTATCTCTTTGTTACTAAAGAAGGTTTTGAACTACAGGATGTGGACATTATGAGGAAGGCACACTGCTTGTTCTGAGTGTGAAGCAGGCCCTTCGTGTTACTTTATCATAAGTGCTGTTTGCCACGGGTGATTGTTCTCTTCCTGTGGGAGAGCAGGAGGGTAGTGTATTTCAGCTGTCTTCTTTCTGCCCTTCTTTGTCAGTTTTTCTGTGAACATCTTACTGGTCAGTGAGCGGGTGTGAAGACCTGGCCACTCGTGGAAACACTGTGATTGGTCCCACATACATGGTTCAGGAACTGTAGTTATCCCAGATTCTGTGTTTTACACATGTGCTGTGGGTGTAATGATTTTGACAGATTACGAACACTTGCTTGACTGGATTTGCCTTCCTTGTGGAGAGTGGGGTTGAGATGTGGCATCCAGACAGGTTAATATAAGGACAGGAGAACTAATCTGACTGCAAATGATGGGAAAACACTAAGATTTGAAAATGAGCACCGTTTACCTTACTGAGCTAGCCAAGATAAGAAAGTGGGTTAGTTGAGACAGTGAGTTTTTTTAGTTGGTGATTTTTCCATGTCACGTTCTGAGGATGAGTCAAGATATTTACAGGGGATGAGTAAAGAAGGAATGAAATCCTTAATCCTAATCCCATCCTAATCCCAATGAAATCCTTAATCCTAATCCCATCACAGAGCAGATGAGAAGGCACTCCTGAATTTGTGTTCCTCCTTCCGTGCCACTAACGCTTTGGGATTCCTTCCATGGGCTTTTGGGACCCAGGGAAGTTCTTTGCAGGTTCTTGGGTATCCTGAACAATGTATTAGGCAAGACACTTAAAAGGTGGCAGGGATGTGCACTTACTGGAGGTGAAAAAGAACTGCTCTGCAGACTGAGAGGTGGGCTGGTGAACAGGTTCACAGTGGCCTTGAGGATAAGGGAGTGTTTTTTTGTGTCTGGACTTTCCTCGTGCAAATAAGGCATTTGGGACAGTTGTCCTATCAAAAACCCTCCTGGTTTGGTGCCATATTTAAACTGTCTTATGGAAGACTTGCTTGGTTTTGTTCCAGATGTAAACCAGTAATTGAAAATGGCACTTTTCTGATTGGTCCCATATACAGTGTTCTGGAACTGTAGTTACCCCAGATTCTGTGTTTTACACATGTGCTGTGGATGTAATGATTTTGACAGATTACAAACACTTGCTTGACTTTATTTGCCCGAGATCTAATCAGCTATCTTCTTGTAAGCACTGTCCCTTCCCAGATTACAGTTACCTTCTCCTTCCATTCTAGCCACGTATCATGTAATTCTTCTTTGGTTTTTTTCTTCTAGGTATACAGTGGCCAAGATTTTATTCTGAGTCCTAAATTTGCTGTTGGTCCTCTTTGTGTTTTGAGACAGTTTCAGACTGACCTTTGTCGATGTCACTCCCGGCCGGCAGGAAAGACACACGACAAGGTCTGGCGGTGGTCAGGCTTTTCTTTATTCTCTCCTTATACAGTCTGCCCCGAAGCCTCTACCGGTCCGCTCTCCGCGGCTCCTTCCGTGCTTCAGTCTGCCCCGAAGCCTCTACCGGTCCGCTCCCCGCGGCTCCTTTTGTGCTTCAGTCTCTCTCTCTCCCAGGGGTGGAGGCACCGGCTATACATAGGATTAATAGCTAGGCAGACTACCCTGTGAGGCGGGAACTTAGTGGGGTGATAAGAAACAGGTGCCACACAGGCGGGCTCGATGAGAGGGGTAATCCAGCCCAGGCCTTTGTACTTTCCCACAGGCCCCGCAATCACCGCGTCTGATGACTTGACAGTGCCACGGCTCCCAACATCTCCCCCTATTTTATTTTAAATGATGGCTACGCGCATCGCAGCCCGTCCTGGATAGAGTGCAGAGGCCTATGCCCCGAACTGAGGCCCACCGTAGGCCCTTAGCGTAGACCCTGGCCGGCCGCCCCAGGGTCCACCAAGGCCCCGAGGCCCTCGTCCTCCCCTCCAGGGCCAGGAATGAACCGGACGGAACCCGGCCGCACACAGGCACGCACTCATTTCTCTCCACGAATCCCCTCGGAGAGAAATTTATCTAACAATCCAGCGGCTTTCGAGCGGAACGGGGTAGGGCCTGGCTTAGGTTGAGTCGTGCTGGGGAGGCACGCTCCCACCCGCCATTGACTCACCCACCCCGCTACATGTTGTTGTCTAGGGAGGAGAATGTGGGAAGCCTGTCACTTTTAAACGCGGTCGTAGGCCATGCGAGCGAGCCATGCATATACAAGGGTAGCACATAGGGGAGCAAGCCGTTCCAGGCCCCCAAAAAGGGATTGTCCTGCAGTTCTTTTAGGGCTCATCTTGTTGTTGGGTCTGCGGTTGGCCTCTGGTGGAACAGGCCTGATCTTCAGTCGAGGGACTTGTCGCGTCAACCTCTCTGGGACCCACATTGGTTCTCGTCCCGATTCCCGCGGAAAGACACAAACCGCGCCTCGGCTTCCTCTTTTGTATCTCTGCCCTCCTTGACGGACCCTTCTCGGGAGCTTCCTCACTGTGCCTGTTCAAACACCTCGCGTACTTCTACAAGTTCTTGAGAGCTCCCCCCGTAACTACCCTCACTCTTTAGGCACGTGTGTATCATTTCCCACAATGGACGAGCAGAGACTGAAGCTCTACCCTCCCGCTCTGCTAGGGAAAGGTCTCTGCCCAACTTTTCCCAGGAGGGCAGGTTTACATGCCCTGTAGGCAGAAACCAGGGAGCAAAGCTGTCAATCTCTGCAAGGAAATTTTCTAAAGTCTTACGCCCCACCTTGAGGTCCTTGGACTTTAGGAGTCTCCGAAGGACCAACACCAAGGCTGTGTATCTTTACTTGGCATGTTTCCCATTTTTAATATATCTTCTGTTATTTTTACTTCTATGTTTATGTTTTACACTCTTTTATTACCTTAAGTTCTGGTGTTATGTTTCATACTCACCGCGTGAGGCCCAAGAAACCCGCCACTTACGCGTGAGGTCGAGAGGAGTCTACAAACCCTGTAGGTGCGCGCCACCCAGGGCCCAGGCTTATCCTCTACTCACCTGTCCTGCAGCTGCAGCACTGTGTAGGAGAATGCAGTCCACCGCCGCGTCTCGGGGTTGATCAATCCCCGTACGGGCCACCAAATGTCGATGTCACTCCCGGCCGGCAGGAAAGACACACGACAAGGTCTGGCGGTGGTCAGGCTTTTCTTTATTCTCTCCTTATACAGTCTGCCCCGAAGCCTCTACCGGTCCGCTCTCCGCGGCTCCTTCCGTGCTTCAGTCTGCCCCGAAGCCTCTACCGGTCCGCTCCCCGCGGCTCCTTTTGTGCTTCAGTCTCTCTCTCTCCCAGGGGTGGAGGCACCGGCTATACATAGGATTAATAGCTAGGCAGACTACCCTGTGAGGCGGGAACTTAGTGGGGTGATAAGAAACAGGTGCCACACAGGCGGGCTCGATGAGAGGGGTAATCCAGCCCAGGCCTTTGTACTTTCCCACAGGCCCCGCAATCACCGCGTCTGATGACTTGACAGTGCCACGGCTCCCAACAGACCTTGAACTCACTATGTAGCCCAGGCTGACCTTGAATTTGGGGTGAGCCTCCTGCCTCAGCCTCCCTCGTGCTGGGATTACAGATGTGTGCCAGCATGCCTGGCTACATTGGTCCTCTTTGAAGGCTGAGGGTTGTGAGGGAAGCAGTATGTTCTTTTTGGCCTTGACTTTCCAAGTTTGCCTGCTACAGCTGTGTAGATGTTGGTAGAAGACACCAAATTCCTGAGTCAGAGAATGATTGTTTAAACTCCTAACAAGACCAGTGAACAGGATATCAACATTTTTGTGCTTAGTTTCTTTTACCCCAGTTCCCACAAAGCCAGTCAAAGACAGCCAGACAGCTTTGAATATGCAGTGTATTGTTTTGCAGTTAGAGGAAACCTGAGTTTAGGGAGCACAAATCCTTTTGGTCTGGACATGTACCTTTTGCTGCAGAGGGAGACAGTTCTCTTTAACATCACACACAGTAAGCATGCATGCATTCACTGTAAGGATGACCCTATGTCTGTCATTGTACGAATACCTTCACCAAGAATAAAGAGTAATTGGGTGTAGTGCCTTCCTGTCCTGACGTAAGTCCATTACCAGGAGGGATCCGTGGAGAAGGGTCACCTCTCACTGCTCTTTGCTGTTCTTTTCTACTTGGGCTTGCTCAGGTGAGTGTGAGCTGCAGGACCCAGGGAGGAGGGAATTAAAGAGTGCCACGCAACCACCCCTGCAGATTTTTACTAGGATAGCACTGACCACAAAGACACACGCGTACTTTTCTGAGAACTGCAGCAACCGCGGGGACTGATGGCGTTCCTGTGACTCCCAACTCCACCTCTAAATGTATCCTTATTCCTTCCTGAGGGGCCATTTTGGCCTGTGCGCCCATTCCCTCTGCTGTGGCTTTCAGGCATGTAAGCCCATGACTTCTTACCCGGGGGTCGCTCTCTGTCTGCTAGCGACCCGCCCCTGCACCAAATAAACTTCTTCTTTGTGGCAGAGTGTCTGCATCGTCCTTGTGTGGGTTATGGTCTCATTTACCTTTCAGAGTGGACCTACCAGTGAATCCAGGGAAATTCCTAGGCTGCAGTGTAAGGGAGACAATCGGATCAGGCACATGGTGTGAAGAAGGTTAAAGAAAGTTTCAGGGAGATGGAAATACTTGGACAGATGTCTGAATGATGACGGGGAACTAAATTGAGGAGAGAATCCCTGCTGGAAATAGCCACTTGGGGCACAAGGGAATCTGTGTGAGCATGGAGCACATAGCAGGGCTCAAGGGAGTTGGGGGAGTGAGCCCCAGCATGCAGGGGCCCAGTACTGATGTAGAAAGCGTTGTCTTTAACCCAAGCAATGGGAAGCCACCCAAGCTAAAGCAGGGGGACAATGTCTTGTTCGAAAAAGTAAAAGCAAAAATTCTTGAGAGGAAGGGACAAAAGAATATATTCCTGACGTTTTGTTCCCAGGGTCCTATTTAAAAATAGGAGGTGCCAGAGGTGGTGGGAATGCCTGTAATCCCAGCACCCTGGAAGCTGAGGCAGGAGAATCACTGTGAGTTTGAGGCCAGTTGAGGGTACATTGAAAGGATTTTGCCCTAGGTATGATATTAGGGCAGTGGGAGGCGGGACCTGGGAAACGTTTACATGAGGCCACTTTCTCCTCACATATGACAACTTACCTGTGGGACAAAAAGAGTCCCAATCAGCTGCCTGCGCATCAGCAATGCCACCTTAAGCACTACCCCAGTGGGAAACTATAGGTATGCCACACACACCAGGTTTCCAGCGGAGAAAGCCAGGCCCCGGCGGTGATGGACTTCTCTGCGAGTCCTTAGAACAAAGGCTAGTTTTATTTTATATTCTCTCTTTTACCGCGCCGAAAATCCTATCATACGTGAGCCCTTGTATCACAACCAAAATGAAGAAAGAAAGAAAGAAAGAAAGAAAGAAAAGAAGGTAGGAAGGAAAGAAGGAAGGAAGGAAGGAAGGAAGGATAGGATGACTGGTGCAGATATCACAGCCTTTGGCTTTGTACGGTAGCTCTTACTAGTCACTTTGGGATTTGGTTTTTTTCTCAAGGGGCTCCCTGGCTGGGCCCAGCGGTCCCGACAGAGGCATGCCGGGGAGGGAGGGTTTCCCGCGATGTGGCGCGCTGGTTGGCCGTCAGCGTGTCACGTGGAACCGCGGAGTGGAAGTGGGGCGGGGTTGGTTAGAAGTAAGTGGCTCAGGATTGGGTGTTCGGCGATACTATGTTAATGAAGCTGCCAGTGTGAAGTAAGTTTTCCAAAAGGCAGAGCATTGAAAGTGGGTTTTTTTGTAGGCCTGGTAAGGGAAAGGCGTTCTGGAGGGAAGCTAAAAGTGTGCATTTATGTGAGCCGATGTCCCCACAGGAGGGGACCATCAGCGTAATATGTGTGCATCTCAGGGAGGAAGCAAAGGTGCCAGCTGCACTGGCAAGTCTGTGCTTTCAAGAGTGATTTGTGTAGTGAGAGAGTTTTAGTCTAGACAGGACATTGTAGCTGGTGAAGCTTTAGAAGTGAAAACAAGAAGCTCCTGTTTCCCCCATTCTTAAAAACTTACCTGTGACTCCATCTTTTCTGCCCCCTAGGAATTAACCTGTGGTATCAAATAAAGGCCAATAGATTGCCTGTGTATCCCTGATGCCCCTTTATGTTCTACCCCAAACTGAGGCTACTTACATACCCCCCCCCCCACACCACATGTCCATCAACGAGGGAGCCAGACTCTAGCAATCCGGGGTTTGGGTTTTGTTATTTCTCTCTGTGTTGTTAGAATAAAGGTCTCTTTTGTTTTATACTTCTCATCTTTTGGATATAATCTTATTTGGTGCTGTGACTTGATGGGCAGGTGATTAACTCCTGGGACACACATCCAGTTGAGTCCCCAGCTGATTCACGAACTGGATTCCATCCTGGATTAATTCTCTGCTTTTCCTCTCCCAGGACTTGCTTGACTTGTCGCCAACCGCTGGCACACAACACCGGCCCAATTAATCTCAGGTGAGCCAACTCCGGAGAATTCTTGGTGCTAACTTGGCCCCAGGCAGGTTTTCTCCCCTTTTGCGTGGGTTCCTGACGCTCTCAGTCCTTAAGACAGCCCAGGGCAGGGTCTTTCTAGGCAACCTGTGTCCACACTCGAATATCTCTCATGTCCTTTGGGTTCAGATAGCCCAAGGCAGAGTTTTTCTGGACCGCCCACACTGTAAGACTCTCACATCCCTCGGAGCTTCACGATCTCATGGGCAGAACTGTTACTGACCCCACGTGGACTCCACTCGTAAATCTCTCAATGACGACTGGAAAATACGAGTTTTTGGAACCCTAACCGCCATTTGGTGCCACAGGATGAGTGACAGCTCACCCTCTGGATGATGGCTCATTTCTTGCCTAAATTAGTCATGGGAAACGCTTTTTCTAATTCCCAAAAGACACCTCTGCAATGCCTAATTTCCAATCTACATACTCTTAAGATTAAAAGTACCATAAAAACTAAACAATTAACGTTTTACTGCCAGAAGGTTTGGCCAACCTACCCACTTATTGGCAGCCCTTGGCCCAGAGAGGGGACGTTTGACCCCTGTATTCTCAAAAATCTCTACGATTTCTGTCAGGCTGGTGACAAGTTAACAGAGATCCCTTATGTACAGGCTTTCCTTATTCTGAGAACATGTCCATCTCTAATTATATCTTGTACCCCCACCCAGGTATTTTTAGCTAATTCTGCTGCACCGCAAACTCTCCCCTCCTGCCCTCATGATCTGCTCGATGAAGTACCCCCTGTTTTTTACTGGCTGCCGCCTACCTACCCCCAAAATCGTTCCTCATCGTTATTTCCCACGTGTGATCGTCTTCCCCTCCCTCGACCTCTAATTCTCTCAACAGCTCTAATCCCTCTGTGTCACAGTTATCTCCCGCTGTGCAATCGTCTTCCTCTCCCTCTCCCAGAGCCCATAACTCTCCCAGAGGCTCTAATTCCTCTGTTAGCGCTTCCTCACAGTCTCCAACCTCTTACTCTTCTGAAAATTCTCTGTCCCCTACAGCATTCTCACCTCCAGCCCACCATACTAGGTCTCAGTCACTCTTTCCTTCCGGCAAGCCACAACAATCATGATTGGAGCTGGGCGTGCTGATCCAACCATGGAAACCCAGATCTCAGAGACTTAGGCAGGAGGAATTTGCTGAGTTTTAGGCCAGCATGGACTCCATAGTGACTGCCAGGCCAGCCTGAACTGCATAGCCAGAGCCTCTCTCAAAGAAAGAGCACCATTTGCTAGAGCTTGAGGGCGGTACGGGCATGGGTAGTGGGCAGGCATGTGGAGAGCCATTATTCTGAGTGTCCTGCCCTCCTCCAGCTTGTCTGCATCTCCTTCAATCTCCCCGCATGCACACCAAGCCCTGCATGAGGCTCTGGTTGCCTTAGTACCATACAGGATTACCATTTCTTGCCTTGATTTCTCACCACACAGGACAAGAGGAGATGCAGACATCCCACCCAGCATGGACTATGTCCCTGTCCTTGTGCCTCCACAAAGCAGCCTTTCTGGATGCTTCAGTGAGAGGCATAGGCAGTGTCATAAGATAGCGGCTAAAGTCAGGCAGGTTGGTGCTCCCCTGGTGCTCTGGGAGGCTGCGGCAGGAGGATCTAACTTCCATGCACCCTGCTTAGGCGAGCCCTTTCATGAGAACTTGTCTCAAAAGAGAAACCAATGGAAAACAGTTTGGGGATGAAGCACAGCACAGTGCACAGAGGCACTGGCTTCACTCCTCAGCACTGCAACCGAGCAAGCAAGTAAGCAAGGAAATGAATTGATCACAACGAAAGAAAGAAAACAAAGAGAGGACAAAGAAAGGCAAATGGAATGCAAGCAAGCAGGTGTGAAATGGCTCTGCACAGGCACTCTGCTGAAGAGTTCCACACTGCACCACTGCGGAAAGGAGAAAGGAAGGGTCAGGCATGGTGGTGCTCACCCAACGCACAAAAGCAAAGCCAAAAACCACATGGAGGAGCTGAGCCTTGAGGATCTGGGCTGTTTGGTGCCTCTCAGTTCTGGTCACCCACGTGCAGAGGAATTCTTATGGTCTGAGGGCCAGTTGGGTTTCCAGGAGCTGAACAATCTTGCTTGGAGGTGCATACTTGGTCCTGATCCTTGCTGGGGGTGTGTGTGTGTGTGTGTGTGTGTGTGTGTGTGTGTGTGTGTAGGGGTGCTCACACTTGGGGTTGAGCTGTTCAAGGGCTGGCCTAGGAGCCTTTGCTTTTGCTAGAATCCAAGGGTGTTTAGGGCAAAGACTCAGGGTTGAAGGCGTGGGCCCAAGGGAATGGGAATGGGAAGTTGTGAAAGCTGACAGTCAGCTGTCCCTGCAGACCCTGAAAATGATGCCAGTTCCTTTGGGTCTTGAGGGGGAATGAGATGGGCTGGGCATTTTAGGACTCAGAGACCTGGGAGGACAGAAGCTACCTGACGTGCCTTCAAGCAGAGCCTAGCAGGGATCGGACTCACACTCATTTTGGGTTTTGTAGTCCTGGGGACTGAACGCAGGCTTCAAGACAACCTGCATCCTCATCATGTTATTTTATTTTATTGATTTCTTCATGTTTTGAGACAGAGCTTTGCTATGCACTTCAGCTGGCCATGAAGTCACTGAGCATGGAAAGCAGGCTGGCTGGTATGTCTCAGGGATGCTCCTGCCTCAGGCTTCCAAGTGCTGGGACTGCAGGCTCTGGCTGCCACATCCAACTACTGCCTTGCCATCTGGACCCTCCTTCTGGAAACAGCATTGCAGGAGAGGAGGAAGAGGCAGAGGCAGGGGCATGAGGCACAGGGCTAAAGCAGGGGAGAAGAGAAGAAGGCCAGGACTGGAGGCTGAGCAGCTGAGGTAGGGGGCTCCCCCTAGCTCAGCACCGCCCCCTGGATTTCTAGTCGCGTGTGCACACATGCGCGCATGCGCACGTGTAAGGCTCTGCTACTTGCCCTTGTTCTGAGACTGGCTTTCCCAAAATGGGCCTGGGAGGATCCTGTTGTGATGGCACACACTGCTACTCAAGGCACTCTGGGAGGCTGAAGCAGGAGGATCCCCAATTCATGCCTAGGCTGGGCAATGTAGCAAATGAGGAGGAACTGGCCTCCAAATACAGTTTTTGCTTTGCCCCACCTCTGTGTCTGTTCGCCTGTCTGTGGGAGACAGTGTTGTGCTTTGTAGTTCAGGCTCTGCCTGAAGGTCTTCAGGAGCCCTGGCTGCCCTGCAACTCTGTTATCCTGTGCCCTCAGTGCTGGGGTTAAAGGCGTGAGCCACCACGCCCGGTAGGGCCAACCTTTCAAAAGGAGCTGAAGCAGTGGTGGTGTGGGCCAGCCAGCAGAAGGCTGAAGCAGGAGGAGCTGGAGCTGCAGAGCTGCCGAGTTACCAAGCTGCCAAGCTGCAGAGCTAGAGAGCTGCTGAGCCGTCCAGCTGTGGGCCCTCCTGGGAGGTTCCCGGTGCTAGAGCAGACAGAAATAGAGCACCCAAACCACCAGTCCTCAGAGAAGCAGCCGAGTTTGTGATCTCCCAAAGCTATGAAGGAATCCTTAGGAAGAAGACACAGGTGAAGAGTGAGAAAACGCTTCCAAGAGAGAGAGACAGACAGAGAGAGAGACAGAGAGATCAAGTCCTGAGAGAAGAGAGGGAACCTAAGAGTGGGTCGCCCAAGAGCCTCCTTCTCCAAGGATAATTCCTAGTGCAAAGCTAAGAGGTGAGTAGAGGCTGGTGAGATGGGTGCCAGAGGGTCTGCTCTGGGCTCAGGGAGATGGCAGGGAGAGGCACTGGGGGAGGAGGGATGGGAAGGGGAGGCAGATTCTCAGGGAGAGAAGCAGCAGCAGCACCATTGGGTGCCTTGTTGTCTGGGCCCTCAAGTGCCCTGAGGGCCGAGCCTGTCTGACCTGCTGCCCTCCCTCCTCTGGGTCTGTGTCTCCCCAGCTCAGCCATGGCGAGCAGCGCTGGCCTGGGCGATTGCGGATGCGCTTGGTGCACGTGGCTGGAGCACTTCTGCAACCCAGTGGTCTTCTGTGTCATTGTGGATCCTGAGGAGATGTTGTTTGGTGCAAGGCCACTCCCATTTTCAAGTGCTCTAATATTCTAGAGGCTCTGAAGATGGGCATCTGTTGTGCCAGGGATGGGATAGTAGCTCTGTGTAAGGGAGTATTGGTTTTGTGGTGGGGCCAGAGGGGTGAGGAGGCCCCTGCTCCCTTGTGGTTGTTGAGGGCCACTTAGTAAGCACACATGTGAACAGCAGGGGCTGTGAAGATGCAAACTGGCTACAGTCAACTGCTGTTTTTTTTTTTTTTTTGAGTCAGGATCTTTCTATGGAACCCAGCCTGGCCTTGAACTCAGAGCAATCTTCCTCCCTCAAGTTAGTGTGACTGCTGAGAATACAGATGTGCACCAGTGCCTCTGGATTAAGTCACATGTTTCTCTTTCTTTTCATTCATTTCGTTTTTGAGATGAGGTCTCCCTATGCAGTTTAAAATGGTCTTGGACTCATAGTGATCCTCCTGCCTCAGCCTCCTGAGGGCTGGGATTAGAGATTTGAACCTGCCTGCCGGGCTCTATTTATTCATTTAGTGATGCATAGGTGAAAGCCAGGGCCTCACTCGTGCTACACGAATGTTCTACCACTAAACTGCTCGAGCAGTGCTCCCAATCTTGCAGAATAGTTGTAAGATTCTGCCCACCCAGAACCTCAATAAAATAAGTCACCAGTTGCTGCCAGTTTTTTACTGTTTTGTTTGGTGAACAGTGGATTTGATCCAGAGCATTTGCACTGAGCTATATCCCCAGCCATTTATTAATTTTTATTTTGAGACAAGATCTCACTAACTTGCAAAGTAGTCCAGGTTTGGCTCCAACTTCTTGATAGGTTTTTCCGTGGTGCTGTAGAAAAGCAAGAGCAAAGAAAGCACAAAAGGAAAAGGCCTTTATTGTGGGCAAGGGACAGCTGCAGGACAGTGCATGGTCCCCAAGGGGGCAGATAAGAAGCTGAAAGCTTTTATTCAGTTTGACAGGCAATGGAGTTTGAAGGGGCAGGCAACGTGTAGTTTTCACAGAGAATTGTGGGAGTGTTAGCACACATGAAAAACGTGGGGAGTTCAGTTTTCTAGTTTGAAAGAAGAATCCTGAAGTCAGTGTTGGAGGGAGCTGCTGTCCAGTACCATGGTGGGCAGGCGCCATGCTGAGGTTGGCAGTGCTTCACATGGGCAGGAATTCCTTTTGATCTTCCTGCTTCAGCTTCCCTGAACCCCAGGATATTAATTGGGTGCCACCAAACCTGATTTGGTGCCAGCTTTCAGTTCTAGGTTTGGAGAAGTCCCAAAAGCCAAAAGAAACAAAAATGCAAACATTTGAATTTCCTTGGGCTTGTTTTCTTTTCAGAAAGAAAGTTATCTACATTCAGATATTTTAAAGTATATCACTATCACACATGGCTTCATTAATGACATTCACTGCCACAGCCCTCGCAGTTCTAGAAGCTCCGAGGGTGGCGCTGCTGAGAGGATCTAGAAAAAGGGGCAAGAGTCAGTATGCAGATAACTGAGGCCACAGCGAGCCCTCACTCCTAATGGAAAGGAAGGAAGGAAGGGAGGGAGGGAGGGAAGGAAGGAAGGAAGGAAGAAGGGAGAGAGGAAGAAAGGAAAAAAGGAGTGCGGTCGGAGAGTCCCTCGCATGTGCGGACAATAAAACCCCTTGATTTTTCATGAGAGCTGGTTCCTTGGGGTCTTCTTCACGACAGTGACCTTACATTTGGAGGCCCCAGCGAGATCCGTCCCCCCCTCGCCGACGGAGGCCCCAAGAGCCACGACGTGTCTCTTGGGGTAAGTATGGCTGTTCTGTTTAGTTTCATTTTCCAATACATCATTTGCCTTGACTGCCCCGGATTGATTTGGTCTAAAACTTGCAGTCCAAAAACAGGGCAGTTTCTTTGGGGGACTCCCCAGAGGGTTTTCTTGGGAGTCCATTTGTCCCTCGGACTCCCAGTTTGTCAGGAGGGGTCTCTCGTTCCCCCCCATTGGTGGTAGATTCACTGATCCTGTGTGAGTGTGACCAGCCAAAGTGTGTGGTGTATGTCGTATTACCTAATCGTGTCCTTTTGTTGGTGTCTTTTGTTTGTCCCGTCATGGGACAAAGTGTCTCAACCCCTCTCTAATTGTTCTCCTTTTGGTTACCCCAAATCTAACAGAACATTCTCTCCTAGGAACCCCTTCTATGAGCCCAAAATGGACTAAGGGATTTAGATACTTATGTTCAGAGTTTTTGCACTTTAGAATTGTTTGCCTGTTTAAATTTGTTGCTAACTTAGGGGCTTGTTGCCCACTTCTGTTGCAGGATCCATATGGCTTATTAGATTCAAAGTTCATAATAAGAATTATTTCCTTTAGCTCACCAAACGATGCACAAAGCACCCTTTGTTTGTGTCTTTAATGTTGTGGCGCCTTGTTCAATATGTAAGTCTTCAATTGATGGTTGCAACCTTGGCATGCCTTTTAAAAGGAGTATTTTTCTTTCTGGTTAAAATGTAAACATATGTGCACATATACATGTGTATTTATGGTTTTTAAGAATCATATCAACTTTACTAAGTAAAAACCAGGTCGTACTATATTTGAGCCAGTTAAAAGGTTACAGTTTTGTTTTTAAAAATACAGCATTTTTATGTGGTAAAAAGACATAAAATAATTAAGTATGTTTTAGACTACTAAAAGGTGACTTCAAGGGTTTTGTTGAGAGTTTTGTTGTTGTCTGAGAAGCGAGAGGAAAGGTAATTGACTGGTAAGAATAAAAAAGAGGGACAAAGAAAGTGGTTTTTTTCTTCAAGTAAAAATGTCTGGCTGTGCCAGAATGTAAAAAAGATAAAAGCTTAACTTGGGGGGTATATTGTAAGTTGTAGAAGGCTCAAGAGGATGTGAATTTTATTTGTCTTGGTTTATAGTACTGCAAATAACAGGTTTGACAAGAAGTAAATGTGTTCAGAATTTGACAGTATTAGATCAGTTTTGGTAAAAGTATTCATAAGATTGTACTTTGCTGCAAAATGTTCCCATTAAAATGAGATTATAGGTGATACTAGAGATAAGATACAAGTTCTTGCATGTGCTGTAAACATCTGGGAAATTATACAGCACAATTTTGTTACCTATGAAAAAGCTCTTTTTTGTTAAGGATATAATTTCAGTAAAATGATGGCCTGCCACGTGACACCCTTGGACAAAAAGCAGTATGCCATCCAAATGAAGCTGGCTCTCTGATCTGGAATGCCAAAACCATGTTCTCCTTTTGTCCCACTCTGATTGAACATCCAGAGGTAAGGAGGTTTCCTCAGCATCGCCAGTTGTCCTCTTTGCAACTCAGTCGGCTCCACATGTTAGACAAAAATTCCAAAGGTTTGAGAGGTTTGAGGGAATGCCCCTCAGCCAGTTAATAGAGATAACACAAAAGGTCTTTGAAAACTAGAAAATTTACAAGAAGCTACCAACAAAAAGATAACCAAGGTGTTAGAATTGCTCTATGAGAAAAATTTTTAAAAAAACAGATGAGAGTTTTGGGGGCATTTATATGTTGTAGGCTAAATTTTACTGAAAAGCTCACCTCTATATGACTCCTGTAAGGGAGAGACTCAAAACTCACTGAACTGGACTGATGAATGTGAACAGGCCTTCCAGCAGCTCAAGCGGGCCTTGATAGAGGCTCCAGCCCTGGGACTCCCTGATGTTACCAAGCCGTTCACCTTGTTCATAGATAAACTCAGGGGCATTGCCAAAGGAGTCCTAACTCAGGACATTGGCCCTTGGAAGAGGCCTATAGCCTACCTCTCCAAAAGACCTGATCCAGTGACAGGAGTATGGCCCCCTTGCCTAAGAATACTAGCTACTGTGACAATGTTACTTAAGGAGGCGAAGAAACTCACTTTGGGCAAGTGATTTCTGTGGTAACCTCTCACAGTTTAGAGACTCTTATCAAAACCCCTCCTAAAAAAAAAAAAGAGGCTTTTGAATGCCAGAATTCTACACTGTCAAGCCCTGCTTCTAGACCCAGAGTCAGTGATAGTCAAGACTTCTTCAGCTTTAAACCCAGCCACCCTTATGCCTGATGATGACCTGGAGGAACAAAGGACACCTCTCCATGAGTGTGCTGACATCCACAAACTGCAGCAGAATCTACGGGCTGATCTTACCGACCAGCTTTTGGGAAATGCCGACAACTATTTCATCGATGGAAGCAGCTTCATCCAGAATGGCAAACGAGTGGCTGGGGCAGCAGTGACCACCAAAAAGGAGGTACTCTGGGTTAAGCGGGTATAGCCTGGCACCTCTGCCCAAAAGGCGATCTTGTTGCTTTGACTGAGAGGCTAAAACTAGCCATGGGAAGGAGCGTAAACATTTTAACTGACAGTAGATATGCTTTTGCTACTGTATATGTACATGGAGCCATCTATCAGAGCAAGGTCTCTTAACCTCAGCTGGGACTAAGATTAAAAATGCTCCACAGATTCTAGACTTGCTGGCAGATGTCTGGCTGCCTCAACGAGTTGCTATTATTCATTACAAGGCTCACCAGACAGGAGATGACACTGTCACCTTAGGGAACAGTTTGGCAGATCAAGCCGCTTGAAAAATAGCAACCACATCAGAGGGGCCAACCAAGAAAGTAACTGCCCTGATGCTAGTCCCTCCGACCCTGTCAGAACCAGTCTACACAAAAAAGACCTACAGTTAACATCTCAACTTGGAGTAAAGTCCCCCATCCCCGGGGGCTGATACCAGTTACCTGATAAACAAGTACTGTTACTGGAGGCACTAGGGTGGGAGCTGTTACACCGGGCTTGCCAGACTACTCATTTAGAGAAAACTAAACTTGTGGAATTGTTCAGAACTTGTTTTTTTATTCCAAAACTCTACAAACTGACCCCCTCTTTGAGCTCCAGATGCCCACAGTGATTGTTAGTCAACTCAGCCAAGAGCTCTCTGCTGGAGACCACCCAACATTAAAAATTTGTTTCAGGAGAACATTAAAAAGTAGACTTCATGGCATGGTAAAGCCTGATTTACAGGGGTACCGCTATCTCTTGGTATTAATAAACACTTTTACTGGCTGGGTAGAGGCTTTCCCTACTAAGTCTGAGTCAGCCTTAGTGGTAGTTAAAAAGCTATTGCATGAGATCATACCTTGATTTGGCCTCCCACTATCAATGGGGTCTGATAATGGCCTGGCTTTCATAGCCCAAGTCACCCAAAAGTTAGCCCAGGCATTAAAAATTAATTAAAACTCCACTGTGCCTATCGGCCACAAAGCTCAGGGCAAGTAGAACGTATAAACCAAAGTCTCAAGGACATTTTAGCTAAGCTGTTTTCAAAAACTGGTGATAATTGGGTGAGCCTTTTTCCCTTTGCACTAAGAGCTAGATGTACCCCATATGTTTCTGGAATCTCCCCCATTGAAGCCATGATTGGGAGGCCCCTGACATTGGTTCCAAGATTGCCAGAAAATAAACTAGCTAAAATAACTAATCAAGATCTCATTAAGTCCCGGCAGACTCTCCAACCCGTCTTGACTTCAATCCACCAGCTGTTTAGACAAAAACACCCGGATATGCCTTCAGAGATACCTCTCAAGGTGCCGATCAAGCCAGGGACTCCAGTCTTGGTGCAATGTCACCACCGTGACTCCCTTGAACCCCGCTGGGAAGGACCTTTCACCGTGGTGCTCAGTACCCCCACTGCCATCAAGGTAGCAGGAAAAACTGTGTGGATTCCCTACACTCACGAAAAGCCACTGGAAACAGCGGACAATGACGGACATACTCAGTGGACTACACAGCAGACTGGTAACCCCTTAAAGTTAAAATTGACTAAGGCATAGTTAGATTATACTGATCATGAACTGTTTTAGCTTGCTTGCTTTGATTTTAATAACATTGATGCTGACCTTGCACAGTGGCTTTGGTCCCCCTGTAAGCAAAGAACAATTGTTAAGATCTTTATGTGGGAGCTCCTGTGATTGTGGAGGGGGCTATATTACTAAAGGTAAAGACACCAACTGGGGGGAATTATATATACAATAGGAAACAAGGATCAAGATCCTTCCCACACAAATGATAAATTGTATACATACAGTCTTTGGACAGATTGTGGGGACAAGTTAACATTCCTTGTTGCTATACCCTCAGTTACAGGGGGTTTGACTAAAAGGTGGATGTAAATGATAAAGCCCCATGTGATACCTAACAAAGGCAGCCAGTGAGGGCCATGCCCTCAGAATTGTTCTTTGTATTCAAAAATGCATTCCTCCTGCTATGACACTGTACAAGAATGTATAGGCATAGATAACAAAACTTACTTCACTGCTGAGCTTATGAGGACAAGGGCTGAAAGAATTAAAGGTGATTGGTCGACAAATCTGACAGTGATAGGAAGTTCAAAGTATGCCCAAGCCTCATGTCTCAACATGGTTGATAAATCAGTGTGCTAGAGCAGGGTGGCCCCTATACATGTGTCTGATAGGGGCGGGCCACAAGATAAGATCAAAAAACTCTGGTGGTTGAGGAATGAGTCAAGCTGCTAATAAAAATAAGCTGCCGAAATCACGGGGAGTTGGTCTGGATGCTCAAACTTATGATATTCTAGAGGCCACTCATAGAGCCTTAAATGCTTTCAACCCAACTTTGGCTGAAGAATTGCTGGTTATGCATGGCACAGGGCTCCCCCATCCCCCTTGACATCCCCAGAAATGTTTCTCTGGCTACACTAGAGAAACAAGATTACTTAAATTGTAGTGCTGGTCCCCCCTTTAGAGTACAACCAGTAGGCTTCAAGGACTCTCTCTGTCTCCAAGGAGGTTTTCATAATGATACCTCCAACATTGACGTGGAGTTCGTTACATTTACTGATTGTAGTTCCATAGTTAACCAGACTACCTCCTTTATCCTGCCAAAAGACAAGTATTTATTTGTGGAGGAAATATGGCCTATACCTTCCTCCCAACTAACTGGACAGGGATATGTGTAGCAACTATCCTGTTGCCTGATATAGAGATCCTACCCGGGGATGAGCCTCTCCCCATTCCTAGTTTAGATTACATCACAGGCCACTCAAAGAGGGCAATTCAATTTATTCCTTATTGATAGGCTTAGAGATATCAGGAGCCTTAGGTATGGGGGCAATAGGAGTAGGGGTTTCTGTCCAACCTTCCAACCAGATTGTTAGTGATATACAGACATTATCTAGTACCATTCAGGTCATTCAAGACCAAATAGACTTGTTGGCTAAAGTAGTTCTCCAAAACAGGAGGGGACTAGACCTACTCCTCCTAAAGGAGGGCGGCCTATGTGCCGCTCTAAAAGAAGAGTGCTGTTTTTATGTTGACCATTCAGGCATAGTAAAAGACGCCATGTTCAAACTCAGAGAAAATATCAAAACTAGAGAAAAAGAATACTCTTCGGAGACATCCTTCCCTTCCCTATGGCAAGGGCTAGCTCTTTATGTGGTCCCCCTCCTCGGCCCTTTAGCTGCTTTGCTCCTACTCCTTACCATTGGCCCTTGCGTTCTAAACAAGATCACACATCTGGCGCGATCACAGGTCTCCCAGGTAAAGATGATGGTCTTGAGATACCAATATGACCCAATACCTCCTAATAATCTCTAGGATTAGAGATCCTCACAAGAAAAGGGGGGAATGAAGAGTTAAAACATTCAGGAAATCCCTCTTGCCTTGTCACATGGTCAGAACAACCAGATGTTCTGGCCTGATAGGGAAGTTGTGGTCCAGCGTCCCCAAAAATAAGAGCACTGTGAACTATCGACCCTTCCAGACAGGACATGAGTTTTCAAAACACCAATGCCATCTGCTTCTGTAACCAATGCTTGCTTTGCGGTTTTCGGCTATGTATACTCTGCACTCCCTTACCTGGGCCCTCTCCCCTCTCCCCACCGGAGTGGGGTCGGAGAGTCCCTAGCATGCGTGGACAATAAAACACCTTGATTTTTCATGAGAGCTGGTTCCTTGGGGTCTTCTTCGTGACGGTGATCTGACACTCTGACTTGGGGATGAAAATGTGCAATGTATGTACCATTGATGCCCCTGATTAAGTATTTTGAAAGTTTGTCTTGGTTTATCCTTCTTCCTTTTTGCTTGAAATAAAATGGATTTGAAAAAAAATAAATAAAAGGACTAGGGAATACAGAGCTCATTGGTACTGCACCTACCTAAAATGCACTAGGCCGTGGGATAAAATCCTACACCAAATAACAAGCAAATAAACTCTAGCTACTTAGAAAAATAAAATAAAACAGTGCTCTGAACAGAATCCTCTGTGGTCATCTCAACAGGTGCACAACTGCTGAGACACAACCTAATCCAGGTCCACAAAAGAAAAGTATGGCAATTTACAGTAGAATAAGGATTTCTATAAAGAGCTGTTGTTTTTGAGAACCTACCCTTGTCATACTTAATATCTGATAAAATCAACAACATACCTCGCTGCTCTCTTTGACCCCCGTTAAGCCTATTTCTCTCTCTCGCTTCCCTTAAGCTTGTTTCTCTCTTTGGCTTATCTGGTCTATTTCTCTTTCTGTGCACACAGCTAGAAGTCATCTCTTATCTATTATCTTATGTGTTTACTTGTTCCTGGGTCCCTGTTGAGGCACTATTTTCTTGCAGCTCTCAATGTTTCTAGGGTGAGGACTGTAAGAGGATCTGAAAAAAGGACAAAAGTCAGTATACAGAAAATTGAGGCCATGTGGAGCCCTCTCTCCTGATGGGAAGGAAGAAAATGAAGGAAGGAAGAAAGGAAGGAGAGGAAGAAAGAAGAGGACTGAGAGGAGGAGCAAGAGAGCTCCAGTGGCTGCAGCACATTCAGTTCTATGCTGGGCAGATTGAGTGTCGCGTGGAACCTCTACACCTAAGAGCTTATCCACGTGGCTCATCTCAGGCACCAGTGTTCTTACAGCAGCTTATCCATGTGATTTGCCTCCAGTGTTCTGTTCTTGAGACCAGCCTTGCTCCAGCCCTGATCCATGTTCAGCTTCGGCCATTCCACATAATTCACTGGCACACATATGACTAAAGTAAATGGCAAGGATTGCCATGACCAATGTGACTTCTGAGGTCCTTAGGGTTAAGGACAGTGAGAGGATGAGAAAAACAAAGAAGACACAAACCTGGAGTCAGGTGGAGCCCCACTCTCCACATGGGAGGTAAGGTACTGGCTCCTCCCTGCAGGGGTGTTTATATAAACCTTTTGGCAACTTCATGACATCCCATTGTCCTAGCAACCCACTGTTGAGACTTGGGGCTAGGTATTCTCTGGGCTGAAGCAGCTTCTTCACGTGGTTTACCCCAGGTGCTCTTTGTTCTTAGAATGGTCATATTCCAACCTTGCAAATGTGGTCAATCTCCATCTTCAATGGCACCAAACAGAGTGTGTCTGAAGCTAAAAAGCAAAAAGGCTCAGTGGGCAGAAGAAATCGACAGTATCAGAAACCCTAGCAGTGTTGTCTGAGATGCTGACTGCTAAGGAGCAGGCAGATTTCCCAGGGAATGGAGACTACCCACCCTTTGTCACAAAATATCTAACCATACGTTTCCTGCAGGTAATCTGTATTCTACAAAGTAAAACAAACAAATACTAGGCAGGCAAAAAAATATTGTCAATTATCACAGCAGTTGCTAAACAATATCTAGAGTGTGTGAGTCAGACGTGGCTTTCCACGTAGAGGCCCCAAATCAGCAGCATCCGAGTTACCCAACAACCTGTAAGAATGTGGGTAACATCACTCAAAAAGGACAAAACGTGATGTGTAGGAGGCTATAAATATTCCACTCTTTGTATGTAGAAAAGCACAATATATAAGCCACTATACTGGACATTTCTATTAAAACTCCATGGGAAGGACAGGGGGACAGGGAAATAATTTTTCTAAAGTGTCCTAGGGGAAAGGGAAGTGACAATCTTGAAAAAGGACAATCCAAGAAACAGGGGGAAAGCACAAGTGATTCCCAGTCAGGCATGAGGGTGGACACCTGTGATCCCAGTACTTGGTAAGGCTGAGAGGCAGGATGATCATTGCAATTTCAAGACCAGCAGGGCCTACAAACTGAGCTCAAGGCCAGCCTGAATTGCATAGCAAGACCATGTTTCAAAACAAAACGAAACAACAAAAAAGAAGCAAATTCTAAGTGCAAAGACTCACATCCACCCAGCTACTGAGGTGTTGACCCTGGCCACTGACACCCACACACCTCCAGCAGGGTACTGCTCAGGGACTAAAACTTGGGTGTGTAGAATTTAGCTTGTGAGGTGGATAAGTCTTCCATTATGACCAAGGGGAGCCCACAAAGGCCCTGTGTGGTGCCCATCATGGAGTCCGTGGCTCCTACATTGACCTGGATGGGCTGTGTCTGGCTAGAAGGAGCAAGGACACCAGAATGGCCCAGCCACGGCTGGGGATTTAGCTCAGTGGCATAAATGCCTGCCTTGCAAGTGTGCAGTCGTGAGTTCGATCCCTGGTACTGATTTAAAAAACAAGATTGTGTTTTAAAAAAAGAATGTCCCCGCCAACATGCTGGGCAGAAAGCCAAAAATTATGTAGATCACTTACGTGGGAACTTCTTGTCCTGGAGCCGCTGCACAGCCCGGCTCAGCTTATTCTTGAGGTCCACGGTGGCCTGGCAGATGCCCTTCATCAGCTCGTCCCCCACCCTGGGAATGTAGACTGGCTTTGTGGAAATTTCTCGCAGTTTGGATGCTTTCTGGAACAGGCAGGGAGTTAAGGTAGGCACCTCTGGGTAAGTCTGGGCCTGGCTCTGTCCTTTCCAACCCATAGCAACTCCTGGGACCCACGGGTGCTCAGGTCAAGGAGCCAGCTCAGGTTTTAGGCCTGAGGCACCAGGGCTTACAGTGCCCTTCCAACAATTCTGCCAGTGAGTGGCACAGAAGCAGCTGAGACATGGGCCCCCGCTCTCCTCCAGTGATGGCTAGGACAGTGCAGGAACACAGGGCCCTCTCTGGCTTCCCTCGAGCCATTACCCCTGGGCCAGCACCCGAGCACATCACACAGGAAGGGAGGGTCTCACAGAAGGTCTCAGTTTTGAGCCTAACTGGGGTCCAGTCTCATGCAGAAGCTGGACCAGGAATCCCTTCTCAGAGAACTCAGCCCTGGCATGGGCGGCAGCATGCAGAGAGGAAAGAGGTTCCCCCACCCTGAATTCCCAGAAAAAGGACATTGGAGCTCTGGGGGTGGCAGCAGCCCCTGTAAGCCAGGTAGGAGCTTCTCATGGGGCACTGCAGGAGGAAGCAGCAGTAGCCATGGATGGGCTTTTGGGAATCTGAAATGTCATCTAGCACCACAGTGAAAGCAGCGGGACACGATCTGGATCAACAAGTGGCACAATAATGGGGCCCTAGGAAGATGGTAGCTGGCCCTGGACACAGGACAGGATCCACTGGGCAGAGGGCAGGGGGCCTGGCTGCCTCAGGCCCACAGACGGTGTGTGCCTCCCACAGTTAGGGCACGGCAGGGACCTACAGGTCCTGGAAGGAGACAAGGCTGCAGAAAAGGACCTGAGGCAAAGGTAAAGGCTGAGGCCTGGCACCAAGGTCCTCACAGGCAGGAAGCCAGAAAGGGCAGAGCTCGAATGCTTCAGAGTGTACTTTCAGGGTCACACAGAGGGAGGACGGGAGGAGGAGGAGGAGGAGGAGGCTCATGGGAGGTGGCAGTCTATTCCTGCCCCTCATGGGCCTAATCCCTCCCAGTGAGGACACAGGATGGCAGTGGGTGGGGGCATCGCCCCTGACTGGCTTACATTACACTGCAAAGGGGAAGGAACACTGCAGGTAAAATCCAGACTCCACATCAGCTGACTCTGAATGAGCCAACAGATGATTTTCCCACAGGAGCCAGACTTAAACAAGTCAAACTTCTTCCACAGAGAGATGGAAAAGCACTCTCCCCATGGCTCAGAAAATAAGTAGCCAGGTCCACAGAACGCCTCAGGCAATGGCCAGCAAGGAACCGTGTGTGTGTGTGTGTGTGTGTGTGTGTGTGTGTGTGTGTGTGTGTGTGGTGGGGCTGGATCCCACAATCCCAGGGAACTGAATCCTGCCAAAAACCAGCTGAGCATAGAGGACAGGCCTGAGCTCAGAAACCAGCACAGTCTACCCAACTCTGAAACAGCCTTGTAAGACTCCAGACACACAATCCAAGAAGCTGTGCCCAGATCCTGGGCCAGGGAGACAGAGAACAGTTATGTTTTCCTAAGCCCCTCTAGCGTCAGTTTTTGCACTGCACACAAAACTAATACAGTGTGCATCTTGCTAGGCAGTTCAGGCTGATCTTGAACTCACTATATAGATTAAGCTGGTCTTGAACTTGTAGTCATCCTCCTGCCTCAGCCCTTCAAGTGCTGACATTACAGTCTGTGCCACCACGCCCAGCTTTCAGGGATGCTTCTAATGCCTCCTCCAGTCCCAGCTCTGGGAGGACAGAAAGTACTCAGCAGCGCGCTCCTCAACACTCACCTCCACAAACTCGAACTTGTTCTTCTCAGCCAGGTTGAGCTCGAGCTCATCCTTTAGGGTTTGGATCTCATTCCTCTTCTTGAGCAGAATCTGATAAGCACTGTCGAACTCACTGCGGACCCTCTTCTCCTCTTCCTTTATCTTGTGAATAGTGTTGGATTCGGAGGAGTCAATCAGCACCTTCATTTCCCGGTATTCCTGTGTCACCTGCTCAATCTTGCGGTCTGCAGCATCCTAAAGGCCAAGGCAAGAGGGTTCCTGAGTGTCCAGGAGAGGGGGCCGAGGTCCTGCGGCTGAACTCAGTGGCAGCAGGGACTGCATGGTCACTGTGGCAGCCATGTGCAACACCCAATGAGAGAAACTGGAGGTCCTCCCTCTGCCCCCCAGGGATTCCAACCTCGGCATATGCTCTCCCAGACCTCTCAGACCTCCTTAGAGACACACCTCAAATATTCATAAGCAGCACTGGCTTTCATTTATTTATTTTATTTATTTTATTTTGTTTTCTGTGATAGGGTCTCACTACATAGTCCAGGCTGGCTTCGGACTCTTGGTGATCCTGCCTTCTTGCCTTCCTGAGTGCTGGGATCACGGGTATGACTAACACACCCCGTAGAAGCAACACTGCTTGAAAAACAAACTTCAAAACTGAGCAGGACATCTATCAACAGGAGACCGGAACAGAGATGGCACAGGGAGGCAGCAAGAGGATGCAACAACGCACAGAATGGACGCATTCAGGAGAGGCTGCTTCAGGAGGAGAGGAGGGGGATGGGATGGGGGCGCAGTGCCAGAACTTTCCATGCCCTTTTCCCTGTGGTACTAGGGATTGCACTGGGCTGCGGACAGCCCCAGACCTCTTCTTACTGTTTTCGTGGTCTTTGTTTCTTTTACTTTTGTTTTTTTGAGATTATCTCACTACATAGCCCAGCCTGGCCTTGGACTTGCGGAGATCCTTCTGTCTCAGTCTCCCAGGTACTGGATTATAGGAATGCACCATCACACCCAGCTGAGACACTTTATTTTTTAAACTATAAGCTGTTTCTAAGTAATTACTTTATTTTATTAGGGGACGGGAGTTGGGTTTTTCAGACAGGGTCTCAATATGTAGTTTAAGCTGGCCTTGAACTCCCTAAGGATCCCAGGCTGGTTTACACAGCAGATTCTTATGCTTCAGCCCCACCTGGATTCAGAACATGTCAAGATTGCATCTCCCAAATCCTCTGTGACTAGGTTCTGGGGTCTGACTAAGCAAATTCCAATGTTGAGGCACAGCCAGGAGTGACAGATGCAACACTGTCACTTGTGCAAAAGGAAACTGCTAGTCAGGAGTGGTGTATGCTATACTCTCAGCCTTCTGGGAGGCTGAGCAGGAAGATCAGGAGTTCTAGACCAGCCTGGGCAATTCAACAACTTAATGAGAACCTGACTCAAAATAAAAATTTGAAAGGGGGGAAACCAAGCAAACAGCTCGCCCCCTAGTACATGGCCTTGATCCTACCAATGTGTGGGCTGAGCATCAAACATCCCATCCTCCCCGCTTTCATTAGCAAATGGGAGTCAGAGATCTGAGCATCTCTTGGGAGGTTGACCATATGCAATATAGCAAACAAGGAGAATTTCCTTCTACCATCTCTTTGAAGGCAAATATTTTTATCGCTGTTTTGCTTTGTTCTGATTAGTAGTATTGCTCTGTTCAATATTGTTTCAATGAATTCTATAATGTTCTTGTTGTAGTCAGCAGTTGTACACAGAGAACCACTAGGATTAGCACATGGAGTTTATAATATTTTTATAATGGTCACCGGAAGTTAACACAGGAAAATGCAGTAAATCTATCCGCAACACCAAAGACATAGATTATTTAGTCAAGAGCCTAAACCTCACAGCACATGTCTCACATGAGTCCAGATAAAAATCCAGAGCTCGGGACAATGCCTCCACGAGTCCAACTAGAGGTCCAGATCCCACGAGAAGGACTCACCCCAGTCTGTTTTACGGATCCATGCCAAGAAGACCCAAGGGTCAGCGATGGAAGCAAGAAAGTCTATGCCAGCAGGACGAAGGAGCTGTGCTAGTGGGATGAGGGTTCTACACTGGTGCTGAGAAGTCACACTCACAACAAAGACCAGGGCTATCCTGAAAGGCACCACAGCTGTCCTCAGCAACACGGCGGCCCCGAGCTCCTCCGGCGACAAGCACAATGAGGTACGTGCCAGGAATCAGCATGATGAGTTCATCCTGGAGACCAAGAAGCACATGTCTTCCCCTCCGGAGCAAGGAAGCAATGCTCAATGTGAGGACCGAAGCTTCTCCAGGAGAACCAACAGCTCAAACGGCAACTTGTAGGAAAACCCACAATGTCTCCTTAACACCTCAACACTCAACACTCAACACCTCCCTTCTTTTCCTCTATTTATCCTGGCAACTTCCCTCAGGTGGAGCATCTTGACTCAATGCCATGCTGATGTAATCCAGCTGGCATTAAGTTGACCACCAGTTCTTAATCCATGACAGTTCTGTGTTTCATTTATTGTTGCTATACCTGATGGGAAGAGCAACTATTGTGAAGATAACATGATATACTATGGAACCTTTTACTCTTATGCCAGTAACCTGCTGTGAGGTTCTGTACCATTTTCACTACACAGTCTAAATTGGCTTTGTTCCATCTTGTTCTGTTGTATTTTACCACATTCAAAATAATAAAAATTTTTTAAACATAAACTTACTTAAAAATAAAAATTTTTTAAATGATAAAAATAAAATTTAAAAGCGCTGGGGATGTAGCTCAGTGAGAAGGTCCTGGGTCCCATCCCCAGCACCACAAGGAAAAGAAGAAGGAGAAAGAAGAGGAAGAGAAGGAAGAGGAGAGGAAAGGATAGAAGGAAGGAAAGATGGGAGCAGGAAGGTAGGTAGGAAGGAAGGAAATCATTGTTTTCCTTCTCACCTCCTTTTCACAGCTAGAACAAGGATGTAACACTGAGCCAGAAAAGAAACGCAGCCTGACATGACTGCTGCCATCTTGGTCATCACTTAGGGTCCACTTTCCAGGTGACCCTGACACACACCCCAAACCCCACAGGAGAAAGAGTCACTAAGCCAGCCAGCGAGTGTGTTATGTGAGCCACTGAAGCCCAGACACATTAATAGGTATCAAGAAAGGCAGGTGCATGCCAGTTGGCCGAGGCCGCAGGACCCTCCTCTGTTCCAAGGTCCTGACACCCCGCACATTGTACAACCCTGATGGATCTGCCGCTTCCTTGATCCGCTGGCCCATTTCCCTTGTGGTGAAGCTAGAAAACACCCAGCTTCGAACACAAAGTGAAAGATATTGTGACATGGAGCAGGAGGATGACAAGAAGGAAGGGGAACTGGGTCCCTGAATGATCATGAGGAACACAGCCACCCCACCAGGCTGAGTGACTCCTTTGGGGGCTGTGCTGTCTCCATGAGCACAGTCATCTTCTATCAGATTGCAGTCTCTGAATTGGGGGGCACTTATCCTTGCAGCAGTTTAACCAATTACATGTTCATCCCACCCTCTCATTCAGTCTCAAGATCCCCTTCTAAAGAGGTGAGATTCCACTGTGCGGAGGGAAAAACAAAGGCTCCGGACCTGCCCAGCTGACCACAGCACTAGAGCCTTAACCAGCGGGCATCCCTGAGTAAACCACAGCGTGTTAAAAAAAAAATCTAAGCTTCTTTCAACTGAAGAGAATTTAGTATCATAAAAAATTTTGAAGCCAAGCGTGGTGGTGCATACGTATAATCCCAGAACTCAAGAGGCTGTAGCAGGAAGATCACTGTGAGATCAAGGCCAGACTGAGCACTGCATAGCAAGATCCTGTCTCAAAAGACAGACAGAGAAAGCGAGAGAGAGACAGACAGACAGAGAGAGAGAGAGAGAGAGAGAGAGAGAGAGAGAGAGACAAAAGGGAAAAAAGTCAAATACAAAAACAAATCAAGAAAACCATTTCCACCCTTACCCGAGAAGACTTCTGCCCAGTGTTTCCCTACACTTTCTGGAATGGTTAATGCTGACCTCTCAAAGACAAGTCCACAATCCAGAGCCTGTGATCTTAATGTCAGAGAGAACAAGAGTCTTTTGGTTGTTTGCTTTGGTTTTGTTTTTGAGACAAGGTCTCAGTATGTAGTCCAGGCTGACCTTGAACACACTATATAGTCCAGGCTGGTCTTGAACTCATGATGATGCTCCTGCCTCAGCTTCCAAATTGCTGGAATTACAGGTGATCAGCAAGAATAAGGTCCTTTGTAATTAAATAGTCTTCAGGTAAGGCCATCCTGATTATCCAGGTGGGCCCTCAATCCAAGGACAGAAGAAGAGGTGCAGGAGAGGAGGTGACCACGCAGATATGGAGACAGGGACTGGCACAAGGCAGCTGCAGGCCAAGGAGCATGCAAGGCCCAGAAGCTGGAAGACCCAGAGGAAATGTGGCCCTACAACACCTTGGCTGGGGACTTCCGGCCTCCAGACCTGGGACAGAATCTAGGTCTGTTCTTAGAAGCCACACAGTGTGCGGCAACTTCTCACAGCAGCCTTGGGAAACAACTGTGTGTCCTTTGCACAGACAGATGCAACCCCAGTAGGCATGAACTTTGGCCTCCTAATTCTGCCTCCTTCATAACTATAACCATCTTTTTACATTACTGTAGTTTTGGGTGTTTTTGAGTCACAGTTTTGCTATGTAACCTAGGATGGCTTTGAACTCATGGTGATCTTCTCACCTCAGCTTCCCAAATGCACCTACACGCCTGGCAAGGTTGGGTTTCCAGGCGGCTTTCAGTTTGGTCTGCAATGCATCTTCCTTGGGCACAGGGCCTTCCGCATGCTTGGCTGGATCCCCTTCATTGCTGAAGCTTGGAGAGCCTCAGCTCCCTCCAGGTTCAGCCTTGTCTGTCTGGCTTGGAGGTTGAGGAGCTGTGGGGCAGGGAGGGCACTCACCTGAACTCTTTGCTTCCTGGCTTGCAGGTCCTCCAGTGCTAGGGATGCCTTGCTGATTTCACTGTCCATGATGCTGAGCTTCTGTCTCAGCTTGCTCTGTGGAGGAGCAAACAGCAGTGAGATGCCCCTGCTGGGCTGGCCTAGCCCCACCCAGACCACCCTTGAATCTTTCTCTCTGGTGTTCCTGATGCCCTGACTCTGAACCTAAGTCAACAGCACGGGTGTCAGTGCCCTGAACCACAGTTATTGCCAGCTGGTGTGCTGGAGACTGTGCTCACCACTTCTCCTGTGACAGCTGCTGAAATCAAGGCACAGAGGACAGGGAGGTGTCTGCCCACACCAGGATGGCTATTTCCACCATGGCAGATCCAGCCACAGGGACAACCTTTCCGCTGCACAGCAAGGCACCAGCCAGAAGCCCCAAAAGAAAAAGACGCAGGAGAAGGGGACCCTCTTAGACACGTCTGAATCCGGGACGCTTCTCCAGGGGTCATACCAATCCAGAGGAAGCTGGGAATCCCTTCATCAGCCTCAGGAGGGCAGGGAGCAGAAATCAGGGCCCTGGACTCATCTGGCCACCCAAGGCTGGGACCTGCAAGCCCTGGAGGTAGGATGAGCCAGGACACAGAGGCAAAGTCCAGCTGTGAATCTACTCAGTGAGATGAGATCCCATTTCAAAAAGTAAAATTATAGCCATGTGACCAAACTCAACATGCTGGAAATTTCTAAGGATAAAAGAAAAAGAAAGAAAGACATTTCCGCTAAGTAACTGGCTAACGAGTTCTGACCCTCTCTTCTACTTCTCTCCTTCTCCTCCCGTGCCAGAGACAATCAGGGCTGACCCTGACCTTGAATCTGCAGTTGAAGAAGCCACTAAGTCACGTATCAGGGCTGAAAGCAGAGCCCAGGACCACAGGTCCTTGATCAGGAAAGCCCAAGTCACTGCTGAGGTTTCTGACTGGACTTCTGTGATGCTGCCTCTCCCCTCCAGCCCAACAGGGGGAACCCTGGTACAATGATTAGGAATCAGGAATGGTGACACCCAGAGCTGCTGCAGAGGCTGCAAGGAACAGAGGTCCTTCAGGTCCATGCAGGTCTTTCCGCCCCAAGGGGACTGAAGCCCAAGAGGAAGAACCTGAGTGTCTCTCCAGGAACCCAGGTGCCTTTCCCTGTCACTGAGCTGCATCCCAGCCCTTTCTAATTTTTATTTGAGACAGGGTCTCACTACGTGGCTAAATTTCTGCAGCTGGGCTTCATTTTGCAGTCAGTCTGCCTCAGCCTCCCAAAGGCCTGGAATTACAGAAATGTCCCCACACACCCAAGGTGTTGCCTTTTTATCAGCTTGGGAGCCAATTTAAGATTCAGGCCCCTGGTCCAATGATACAGCTCAGCTGCATAAACACTGCCTGGCAAGTGCCAGGACCTGAGTTCCATTCCCAGTACCAAAAGAAGGTGCAGGGCCCCTCAGGCTGAAGTCCTGGTAAAGCCCTGTATTCTGCCCTTGAAGTGCTTCCCCAGAGCCCCTAATCTCTCCCGCTAGAGGTGGGGTCCCAAATAAAGAAATGCAGGGTGAGACTGCAGGGACTCAATCAAAAGCCGAGCTCTATGGGGCAAAGCAGAGCTGCAGGTCCCAAAGGCTGGGCGGGTTCTCTCCTGGAACAGGCAGCAAAGATACAGTGAATGCTCCACTCTGCCAGGGATAATCAGGGCAGTAAAAGACATATTGGTATTAATCCCCCAAAATACACCCCTTCCCCTTGCACACACGTCTCCCCGCATTCTTGCCACTTTCTGAAGGAGTTCTGAGTCCTCTTTCATGACTGTCTCCAGGTGCGCAGTCCTGGCTGCCTTGTCCGAATCTATTCCCGGTGTTTACCTTTCACGGTTCTTTTGACTTTGGGGAAAAGCCAGAAGTCTCATAGTGTCAGATCCGGCAAGTAAGTTGGACGGAGATGCACTGCTGTCATGTTTTACAAGTCTGCCTTTCTGTTGGATGGCACTCAGCAGCAGCATCCACTGTATTCTGATCACACCTCACTAAGACACTGGTGAAAGAGAACTTCCAGAAAGTGGCAAGGGTGATGGGACAAGTGGGTAGGGGGGGTAGTGGGTGGTGGCAATATTCTGAGGGGGATTAACGGCAATGTGTCTTTTGCCATAATAAAATGTTTGCACATTCATCCATTCACCATCTTTTTGGATCATGCTGTGTGTGCCCAAGTTGCAGTGACCACAGAGCTCAAAGGACTTGCCCTGAAGTCCAGCTGTTGAGACCTCGGAGAAAAATCTCAAGGAGCCCAACTCAGCCCCAGAGAGCCGGGAAGGATTGGACAGGCCAAGGCAGAGGGAGCAAGGCCTGCACCCTGGTCCTGGTACCACCGCCCAACACTGTGACCTCCCTTGGGCTTAAGTCTGTTGTGATAATACCCAGACCAGACTTTTGTCTCCCTACTATACTGGCTTTGGGGCTGGCTACCTCTCTCCAGCCTCCACTTTGAACCCTTTGGAAAGTACATGCCCCGAAGCACCACAAGTATCCCCAGACCTCCAGAGTGTTAGGACTCCAGCTAGCCCCCATCCTCCCTCTACCCAGGTCCCTGGGGCTGAATCCCATGCTCAAAGGGACACACCAGGCTGAGGGCACTATGGCACAAGAGCCCAGCCCTCCTTAGTTCCCATCTGGGTATTCCTGGGCTCTGCATGCCCTCCCTGGCCACCACAACTCTTCAGCTCCACAAAGCCTTTTGCTCAAGACTGTCCCACGTTCTAGACTCTGGTTAGGAGTCAGCTCCGTGGGGGGAAACTGCAGTGTCTGGGCCCCAGGGTTCCCTTGGCCATTTACTGCATTAGCTCTGCTACATTAGCCTCTCTGAACCTCAGGAGCCCTGAACTATGAAATGGAACTAATAGGAACCTCCTGAGTGGCACCAGGTTTTAAGGGGGCATGGAAGCCTAAACACCATCAGACAAGCACAGGCTTGGGGCAGGCAGCTTTACCTCAGTCCTACAAAATGGGCATGTGGGGAGCAGGCAATGGATGAAGTGGGGAAGACTACCTAATCTCCCCTCTGCTCTGTCAATGTGATGCCCATCCTCCCAGTGTCTCCCAGAGCCCACAGGAGGCCTGGAAGGAGGCTAATCTAGGCCAGCAGAGCCCTTCTCCCCAGAAGATCCCAAGCTGGCCTAGTGGTTCTGGAGCCCCCCCACCAGCCCTGGCTTACCTCCAGGTCAGCGCTGGCCTGGCTCAGGGTTACTGGTGAGCAGACCTTGTGCTCCACCAGGCAGCTCTGGCAAATGCACTTGCTGTGCTCAGGGCAAAAGAACTCCTGCAGATGGTAGTGCTGGGGGCATTTGTGGACATGCAGGTCAGGCATAGGGGTCTGTAGAGGGTGGTCCCGGAAGGCCGGGTCGTTGAGGTGCGGCTGCAGGTGCACAAGGCAGAAGGAGGCCATGCACTCCAGGCAGGTCATCACGGCCTTCTCCCTGGGGCACTGGTGGCAGGGCACCCAGTCCTGGTCCTGGACGCAGCCAGTTGGCTTTCTGTCACAGGCCTGCGCGTGCGCCTGACTGGCCTGCCTGAACTGCTCCACCACGGCGCACAGCACAGTGTTCTTGTGCAGCAGCGGGCGCGTGGTGTAGGAGGCGCGGCACTGGGGACACCGGTAGGGCTTGCCCTGGAAGGCCCAGGTCTCGTCCAGACAGGACATGCAGAAGTTGTGGCCGCATGGGATGGTGACTGGGTCCTTGAAGAGCTCCTTGCAGATGCAGCATGACAACTCCTCGGACAGCGGACACAGCTCGGCCATGACAGCTCCTCAGACAGCGGACCAAGACTCGCTCTAGGAGCCCCAGTGGGACGCGCAGAGCAGCTGTGGAGAGCCAGAGACTGGTGACTGTCCCCAGCCCACACCTTGGAAATGAATCCCAGGGGGCGGAGCATTTAGGTAGTCACGTGGGGCAGAGCCACAGGGGCCTTCTCCTTGGTCACCTGCACAACCTGCTAGCTGGCGCTGGGGACCAGGACTGTGACCTGCACAGCCCTGAGCTCCCCTGGGTGAGGCCAGGCGGGGCGAGATGGGGTGGGGCGTGGCCCTCAGCTCTGTGGCCCCTGGACTCCCAGACCTGCAGGCAATGCTTTCCTGTGGCCCCTGCTTTCCTCCAGTCTTAGTCTCCCTGAGGTCCTGGGTTGCTGGCCACCAAGCCTGGTTTAGAACATTTCTATTTTGCTGGGATTTGGGGTCACTAAAGTTGAACAAATATTCACTTTCTCTTACATACAACTTTGGAAATTAAACTCTTTTTTTCCTCAAAATTGTTTAGACATATCATTTATTTTGTTTTTGTAAGTTCTGTTTTCCCCGCTCTGACCTAGGAGCAGGATTTGTGAACTGCAAGGAGAAAGCCTTTGGAGTGGGTTCCTTGGAAATTGGATTGGAGGACATCACCACAGGGTGATTAACAGACAGGAGCACAGAGCAAATGTCCTAGATTATGTACGACAGCTACTACTTCAGGAACACCTTCTGTGTGCTAGACCAGGCATGCATATTATTTCTTACTGTATCATTGCATCAGCTTTACATTTGAAGTCTCACAATATTTATAAGCAGGGCAGAAATTCCAGATCCACTCTGCTGAACTCAGCATCCTGACTCCTTGTCCCCCAAGTCCTGCCATGTGCTGAATTGAGGATTTAACCCGCCCTTTCGCAGCAGTCCTGGGTTCACTGATCAATCGATAAATGTCAGTTAAGCATGGACTTACTAGGCTTAGATTTAGGGCTCACTGAGGAGAGAAATGTGGATAATGAGAGAAAGGGGACCAGCTGTAGTTCATAGCTGGGAGCCCCAACAGGACAGGCACAGCAGGGAGTGTTAATATGTTTTTGGCAGTGGAAATCTGCAGCATTTGATACTCTGTAGCAGAAAAGCCAGATCTGCCAAAAGTGTCTGGGCAAGGAGGCGGGACAAGATCCCAGCACATGAACAGGGCAGATCCCAAGGCCTGCACTGTGGACATCTCGGGAGAACTCCAGCAGGTTGCAGGTTTTCTATATGCAAGCGGAGATCTGACCTCAATCTGAAGAGTGGGCGACACCGAAAGGATGGTCCAGGCTGAGGTTTGGCACTGTGCTCTCCTGCATGGTGGCCCACCCTCACGCAGTAGGGTGTGCTTCTTTTCCAGCTTTTATTTGGCACAAACTCATTGTGCAGAGCCTGTTTCTTTTCCTATCTCTAATAAAATTTTGCTGCCATTTGTGATTTTCTTGACCAAGCCTTTTCTCAGTCCCAAGAGACCTAGAAATCATCTCATGAAGGAGACCCCTGCACCCCAAAACCCGGTAACACAACATCATCTGGATGGTTTCAATGGTGATGTAACGGGATAATCAATGTGTTCATAGGAGAGGGTGGAGTATTTGCAATCCAAAAGGGACCGCGGGGACTCATTTCAAGGTGGAAGGGAACCACCAAGGCTTATTGGGTTCCAGGAAAAAGAGAAAATAGACAAATAAGCTGCGCTTGTGTGCTGACACTGAAGCTAGATTTGAACTCAAGATAACCCTCCTGCCTCTGGCTCGCAAGAGCTAGGATTACCAGGGCTGTGCAGCCCCCACCAGGTTTAGTGTGGACTTCTGACCTCCAGTCACTGGCCTGCAGCAGGCAGGGAGTTACCACTCCTACTTCTTTCCTTTTCCTAGAAGCTGCTGGTTCCTGCAGGTGGGTGGTGGTGCCCAGCGCTGATGATTATTGTCTGGCTGCCCACCAGACAGCGAAGCAAGACAGAAACTGCCAGCCCCACAGATCGGAGTCCTGCTAACATCAGGAAGTACAAAACTGCAGAGACCCCCAACTGGGGAAACAAATGCTGATGCTTTCTTTTTATTGACTTCACAAACATTTCTATTTTTTTTCTTTTTTCTTTGCTGTGAAAAGTGCTACATTTTATTCTGCACTTGAAAGAAATGTCAGTAACAACTCCTGATCTCCTAAAATTTAAAGCACACATGCAAATAACACTCAGCCCACTTTCTATGTGGTAAAAAAAGCATTCAAGTGAGGTGAAAAGGTGCAGCCAGTAGGCGTGGTGGACTTTTGCTTTCTCTTCTCTTCATGTCCCTTCTCGTGTCATCTCTTTTCTTAATCAGAATCATTTCTTAGTCTTGCATACTGAAGGGAGCTGACACCAGGGGAAAAGAAGTGACTGTGGTCTCAGAGCACATCTTGTCACTTGGCTTGGGAACATGGATTCTGGGAACCACCCCTGTTGCGTGGGCACAGAGTACAGGTTGAGTCATGCACTCTCCAACCACCACCACTGGGCATGTTGGCATCAGCCTGAGCCAGAGGACCCAGGAGTGGGACTCATTGGGCAGATCCAGAGTCAACTCCCCCTATATTTTTCTCTGCCTTAATTTCCTTGTCAAGCAGATGTGAACTTAGCTCCATGGCCTTTAACTGCCCTGGGAGCCAACTTTTATCTAAGAGCAGCAGGTCCAGATAAAGAGAGTACCACTCACCACTTTACACTTCCCAAAGGCGAGGTCTCAGTAAAGCCTGGGAACAGGTGCTCTGGGGAGGAGTCTTAGTCCTTCAAGTTGGAACCTTTACCCTCAGGGACTCTTGTGTTTCCAGGGATGCCTGACTGTGAGACCATAAAAAGTCTATATTCCTTTTTGGTTTTGATCCCAGTTCCTGGCTCGGAGCTTTGAACACCTTGAACTCTCCAGAGCAATAAGAATATCATTTCCTTGCCAATGTGATGGTGTGGAGAGGGAGGCCTTAAGAAGGAGAGCCGGTGATCAAAGACCAAAGAGACCAAGGAATGATTAGAGCTTTGGAATTTCAAGCCCAAAGCACTGACCTCGGAAGAGAGAGTTGCTAGAGTTAAGTTAATCACCAGTGCTCATAGCTATGTAATGAAGCCGCCCTGTCCACCATAGAGAAGGAATTTAGAGAGCTTCTATGTTGGTAAGAACATGCTTGACTCCACCTCCACTTACTTCACCCTATGCATCTTTCCCTGGGGTCAATTCCTGAGTTATATCCTTTACAATAAACAGACATAACAGTAAGCTCCTTGAGTTTTGTGAGCTGCTCTACCATGTGACTGAATATGAAACAAGCTGAATGTGGGAACCCCCAGCTTTGTAGCTTTTATGCTTTATACATTGTGTCGATTTGAGAAGTCCAGAAGCTTAACTAATTGACTCAGCAGTTCTACTTGGGGGAGAGGGGTTACAGAGGACAGGCATTACCATCCTAGGATATTGTTCACTGTGTCAATTTGAGAAGGTCAGAAGTTTACCCAAGTGACTCACAGGAGGCCTTAGTGTCTAACATCCTCAGCCTTTGCAAGAAGAGGGGCACAAATGGTGTGAGGGCTATGCCCAGCCAGGGGAGCAGCCTGCTTACAATAAAAGGCAAATGAGGAGGGGCCTGATTGCTGGTCCTTCAGAGGAACTCAGTGTTTGCCTTCAGCTTGGATGTCTCCTGGCTTCTGGCACAGACTACTCAGATCCCCCTTGGGATTCTCCAGCCTTCTGTCATAGACTTTTCAATGTTCCATGGAAGACCCATCGGCCTCCTGATGCAGACTGCCTCGGGACACTGCAGTGAGCTCCAGCCCTTGAGTTGGACCCTTCAGGCTCCTGCATACAGACACCCTGTGCACTTACCCTCATCCAACTTTGGAGCTGACTATGGTAAGCCAGTGTTGAATTTTCTTATACATTTGTGTATCTTGTGCTATATTGGTTTCTCTAGTACACCCTGACTGATACAGTGGTCAAGGCAGAGATGAGTGTGGGTACACTGGGTTTGCAGGCCTGTCTCAGGTTATGTGACACCAAGCCTTTGAACCTATGACGTCTGCCAGGCACTCTCGGTAGTATCACAATTCATTGGACTGTAGAACGCCCGTCTGGTATCTGGAGAGTTCCAAAAAAAAGGTTCTCGATGTGGAAACACACACACAATTGATTTCACAATAATTGAGAGTAGAAATTGATCAGACGGATATATTCTGATGTCTGCTTGGAGGCTATTTAACCAATCCTTTAATTGCTGATTTGGCTCTCAAATTCTAAAAATATTCATACTGCTTCATCATCAGGGGCACTAGGAATGTCAGATTCACACATTTGCCACTTTGCCATATTTTTCACATTCCTCCTTGGTTTCAGTTTCCAAGTCTTCATAGACCTCTCCTGCACCACCCATGTTCCTCAGTAGGACCACTGCAATAGGACACTTAAGTATTTCAGTTAGTGGATTGGAATCTGACTTCTTTGATGCATCTTGAGACTCACCCTTCTCAGTGGCATCACCCACCATGATCTTGCCATCATGTTGCTGGTCTTTTGCACCGACAACACGCTGCTCAGTCCCTCTCATGCTTCCCTAGACCCTCGCCTTCCGGGAAGCCATACTTCTGCATGATTTCATGTGCTACTGTGCCATGCGTGTCGGCAAGGAAGCAGTTGCTGGGCCCAGCTGGAGATCTTAGCCGATCCTGTTCCTCATATACTGTAGCAACCAGCTGCAGCTCCAGAGGTTTCTGGAGTGAAGGACCAGGAGAGGATGAGAAAATAAGGAAGAGACCAAAGCTGGGGTCAGGTGCAGCCCTTTCTCCTGATGGGAGAAAAGGATATAGAACTTCAAAATAATAGGAAAATGTTTACCATAATGCCTCTTATTGTCTTCAAAAGAGCTGCAGATACCTTCAGACATAGTAAAAATCAAACAGAAAAGAATAAAATAGAGCCAATAAAAACAAAAACAATGAACACAATAAAGGACTTCAA